TGCCAGCAGGCGATGTGCCCGAGGCAAAGAGGAAGGGAGCGGCCTGAATGGAGAACAGCCAGAGAGGAGGGGGCACGAGAGGGAGGAACGCCACCAGTGTTCCCTCTCAACTGAGTCAGTGTGAGCCGGCTCACAGCCTTTTAGCCTCCGGCTCACACATTTTTGTCTTGGGTCGGGAAGGATGGGGCTCCAGAGCAAACTAAATTTATGCCACAGCCCAATCGCCCGCTCACAACTTTAATGCCCGAAGCTCACAGAGTAGCATTTTTGCTCACAGGACTCCACGGCTTAGAGGGAGTATTGAACGCCACCCCTCCAGGGTAGGGCAGGGTGCCGGGAGGGGGGGGGCTTGGGGGACCTAAAGCTTGTGGCCCACAGCAGGGGTGGCCCTCGACTCGGTGTTTGCCCCTCTGGCTGGCAGCAGTGGAGGCACTGGCCTGTTTAGGAACCAACCGTTTTATTTAGATAAAATCAGGACAATCTGTCTCTGTTCCGGGCACCCCCCCCCCCCCCCGCCACCAATCATGCAGGAGGGATGCTGCCAGAGCAGAGGCCTCCTGCCTGGGAGGGCGGGGCTCCCCAAGGCCTGAGTCCTCTGCAAGCATCACAATTGTTAGGGGAGACCCGGGGTTCTTTTCCAGGATTTGTAAGACTAATTTGCAACTGTATACAGTTGCCAAGCTCTTGCCTAATAAGAAGGGTTCAATACAATAATTAACTCAAACAACCAAAGGTCTGACGCCTGACTTGTGATATCTCCTTGTGCTGCAAGAGGGAGGTCTCTCTCTCTCTCTCTCTACCAGCAAGTGTGACCAAGGAAGACCCCAACGGGGTGCAGAGCTAACGAGGCCCAGACTCTCCAAGGGCTGAGTTCACGGCAGATCCGTGGCCTGGGTACCAATGACGTTATGGGTCACGGTTCCTCTGGGGCAGGCCGAGAGGACAAGAACGCTGAACATGTTTCTCCTTGGGGGGGGGCTTCTGAAGAGCCAAGGCCAGGAGCCCAAGAGGCCCGCGGGCAGAGAGGCCGGGAGAGGCGCGAGAGTCCGGCCCTGGCGGCTGGACAGAAGGCCGTGAGCAGTGGGGAGGGGGGGGACACACGAGAGCACACAGAGACACACCTGCTGGGCGTCTGGGATCTCCGCTGTGCCGCCGGGGGTGCCGCTGCTGCTGACTGCCAGACACGGGGGGGCACCTGATGTGAAGAGAGAGCTTCAGGAAGGAGGAGGAGGAAACCTGGTTCCAAAGGGGGCACTTCCACCCTGGCCCCCCTAGGAACTTGCAGGGGCCCCCCTCGGGATCACCTTGCTCTCCGGGCTCGGGTGTAGCACCCCCCTCAGCCCGGGGGACGTGCGGCTCCTCCACTCCCGTCTCTTCCACCGGGGCTCCAGGAGGGGGGGGCGCCCCCACGGCCACTTCGGCCAAAGGCGCCAGGAGGCTCTTGGTGCAGTCGGTGCGCGGGGAGACCAGCTCCATCTCCTCCCCCCAGTCAGAAACGGGGCGGTACCCCTCCACCAGTGAGAAGGGGGTCAAGGGCTTCGCCTCCGGGCTTGAGGGGGCCTCCAGCTCAGGGGACGGCATGGCGAGCGAGAGCGGTCCGTCACGGCCGGGCGGCCTGGCCACGGGGTCCTCGGGAGAGCGGGAGCGGGGGGCATCTTCCTCCGCCACTGAGGAGGAGGAAGAGGAGGAGGCGGCACCCTGGCTGCCACTGCCTTCCTCCTCCTCCTCCTCCCCCTCACTAACGTCCTCCCACTGGTCCTCGTCCTCCTCAGGCGCTGCTGGCGCCACCAGTTGGAGTGAGGCGGGCGGCTCCTCCTGTGGAAGGGGCAGTAGGGCAAGAGGTCAAGGCGGAGCAAGCGGTCATCTGGTCCCAGCACGGCCGCCGGGCAGCCATCCAGGGCCCCCCGGGGGCCACCCTGCCCTGCAGGCACAGGGCGTCCGTTAGGAGCCCAGAGGGCCCCTTGCCTCTGGCCCACGCCTGTGCCCGTGGGGGTCCCACACACAGAGCTTGCCACGGGAGCAGCGGAAGAGCCCAAACTGGCGCCGCCCCCCCCGCCCCCCGGGTCCCGCCTCACCTGCTGCAGTGGGCCGGCAGGGGACTCGGCCTCCACGGGGGCTGCCTCCAGCTCCTCTTCCTCCTCCCAGCGATTATCATGCATGCTAGAGGAGACCAGGCCCCACCGTCAGACTCCCCCCCTGTGCCCGGCGTGGCGTGGGAGCCCCTCGGGGAATGCCAGCCCCTCCCCAAGGACGGAACAGAACCCTCCCCACCCCCCAGCCGCCACTCCAGAGAGGCGCAAGCCCCCCCTCCCCCACCACCACCCTCCCTCCTGCAGGGGGGGTCATGCCCCGAGACCTGCCTCACCTGTACGGCTTGGAGGGCGTGCCCCGTGCGCGCCCACGGCCTCTGCCCTTCCTGGCCATGTCCACCTCCCGGCTGGGGGCCTCACCTCGCCCTGCCCAGACCAGGACTCAGGCCGACGCAGCGTCAAGACGCCGGTCTCCAAGGGGGGGGGGGTCCTTGCTGCAACCTGACCCTCTCCCTCCCAGCAGCACCTGTCTGCCCCTTGGCGTGAAAGTCCTGTCTCCCACCCACCCCCAGTAG